ACACTATACACAAAAACCAAAACGAGCTTTTGGGGATGGGGTACAGGAAGGAAAATGTGCAACAATAAATGAATGGAAATGCAAGTTCTTTGTAAACTTTCATTAAAATCTCAATTAAAAGTTAAAAATACTCATAGCACTATATAACATAAAGAGGAAATGATAGACTTCAGATAGTAATAAGATATCAATATTAGTTCAATTAAGGTATTACAGGAATACAGTAATTTTTGCTGAAAGTGAGGAGGACTTGAAGCACTTATTGCAGAAGATCAAAGAATACAACTTTCAATATGGATGCCTCTCAGTATCAAGAAAACAGATTTCTACCAGTGGTTTCAGAGACAATAAATTGATTGTATTAGGCTTCCTATTGAAAAACACAGTTGGTCAGTAGTATGGGGCTGGAATTCAAGTTGTAAATGATCTGGAGCTGCCTGAATCTACAGAGTTTTGTTTTCTGGTTCTGGTGAGGATTAGGATGGAATGATGTCTCTTGCTTTCGCCACCACCCTCTGTAACAGAACTCCTGAGTAAACCACTGTGAGAAGGGAAAAAAAAAGGATGGAATGATGTTGGGTGTGAGTTGATTGTATTCAGTCTCCTTTAAAAACAAAACAAAAGAGAACAAAACCCACCACTCATTTGGGCCCTCAAGCTGGTTTTAATTGTTTTTGGTCAAACATTCCTCTAAGTGTTATAACACTGATCTGTCCATTTGCTGTACAGAGATAATTTGTGGTTACTGTGATGCTAAACACTGTGACATCGTGGTGAGTAGTGTTTAGTGGAGCTTAAAACAAGCTTGGAAACAGGAGTGGCATCTTCTTCCAAAATAGCTTGCCTCCAGAAACTCTATGTGCGTGGAGTAATGATGAAAGTTACACAAATGTTCAGGTCTTTCATTCTTGGGGGTCACAATGAGTTGTCTACAACTCGATGGCACCTAACACAACAACAATAACAAATTGCACTGGAGAGATCCTCCCATGAAACAGCTGTTGTATTTGAACTGTGTGCCTTTGGGATTGCAGTGCAGCTCCTTACCACCAGGACTACTCCATAGTAAATCCATACAAAAAGTACTACTTCATACAAACATTTTAAAGACTGACAGCATCAAATATCATAGTAAAATTCAATGAAGAATGATTATGATCTATAAATTCTGTGGTTCTAAACCTCCTTTAGATAAGTTCTCTTCCACAGACTGTACTATTACATTGCATTTCTCCTTCTTTTTGTAACTTGAAAGTTCAAACCTAAGTGTGGAGGCTCAACATGTGGCCTCCAGGCCAGATCTGACCCCAGAGAGGTTATCTCAGAGCTCAGGGACTAATTCAAAACATTACCCAGCATTTAGCAAATTCTCAAAAACAACTTTCATTGAAGGAATTTACTGGAAGGAGTATTATCTGTTCTGCCAGGACTTTGATCTTTTCCTTTCCCCTGAGCTATGCATGTTCTTTAGCTCTATTTGCATTAACGTCCGGTGGTCTATGCTGCACCTACCAGGCCAGTGGGCTCCACAAGCATGCACATTAAAAAAATATTCTCTTTCTGAGATAAATTTATATATTTATCTTTTCAGGACCCTCCAGTGTATGTACTTTGTGCTGAGGTAAATAAACTAAAAATATGTTTTAAATCCACTTGTGTATCAGCCCAGTTTTAAGCAATTATTAAACAAACAAGCATTACTCATGGGAGGGGCCTAAATCCATTTAAGGCCACCATTCACCCCAGTGAGTGCTAGGAGAAACTAGATGACCTCTAGCAAAAGCATGCCAAGTACACAAAGCCTCATCCCCATTCTTCAGCAGTTGCTCAGAGATTTCTGAGGAACATGATGGGAAGGCTCTGAAATGAACTCACAAAAGTAATCCAGGGCCTGAAGATCTGCTCTCTCCTTCCATAAATGCCCTTTCACCTTCAAAAAAAGAAGGGTGAGACAGAAATTAAACAACAAATAACCCCACCAAATAAACCAAAAACACCCACAATAAACCAACCAGCATCCCACATACTTGATATTGCAATAAGAGGTCTGAGACTTCATCAGCTTCACTCAAAAATCTGTAAATGCTTGGAGGACAAGAAAAACAAATATTTCTCCTTCTATCTAGAGCTTCTTTCCCTACCCTCTTGACAAGTTAGATCTGGGACTTTCTGGTTTAAGGTTTTGTTTTATTAGTTGCATATCACCAATCTCAAGTCGAAAGCTTTGGTGGCCTATTGGCAAGAAGCTTTGCTACAATCCCAAATGCACATAGTTCAAATACACCTTCTGCTTTGTGGGAGAAAGACTGGCAATCTTCTCCTGTGCCTCTGAAAACCCGTTGGAGGGTCAGCTATGAGTCAGTTCCAACTTGATGGTACTCAACAACAACAATCTCAAGTACCTTTCAGCAGGCTTATATGGTGGACCTACCATTCATCTAGTATGAGCCCCAAGCCTTTTCATGTGCTGCATAAAGAAGATAACTCTATCATATTTAACAAATGAGCAAAGTAAAGCTCATAGACTAAGGTGCCAAGGGATTAAATAATTTATTCAAGATTGTACAACTACTGGTGGCATAGTCTGGCTTCAAACCCAGATCTGTCCAAAATATGTTCCAGGTCCAGTTTCAATTCCAAAATCTTCTTCTTCTTCAAATAAACATACTGTGATCCATCACTCTACAGAATCAGAAAGTTGTGTAGTGGGTTGTTTTTTGGTTTTAAGAAAAGGATATTTCTTCCCTCAACAAATGCACATCCAGTTCAGGAAGAAAGAACATCACCACAAAGGTGAGACCATGGTTGCTCTCCGTGATCGTGTTACTCAGGTAACCAGAGGAAGTAGCAGACAGATAGCTGTCACGCAAGGAGGAGGCTACAGAATAGCACTGAGGACTCCAGAGTTCTGAATTCTTATTTGGCTCTGGTTCCAATTTGCTGTGTGCTCTCAAAGAACTTACTCCCTTTCTGTCTTAGTTACCCAGTGCTGCTTTAATAGAAATATCACAAGTGGACGATGACTCTCACAAATTTCTCTCCTCACAGTTTAGGGGGTGAAAAGTTCAAATTCAGGGAGTCTGCTCTAAGGGAAATGTTCTTTCTCTGTGGACTCTGGAGGAAGAAGGTCTTTGTCTCCTCAGCTTCTGCCCTAGTTCCTGAGAGGACTCCCCTGTCTTGGCATCTGTCTTACACCGTCTTTGCTCACTCACTTGCTTGTTTAATCACTTTCATATTTCATAAGAGTTTGACTCAAAACACACTCTTCTAATCTTGTATTACAATCATAACAAAGACAACATATTCCCAAATGAGATAATAACCATGGGCTCACTCACACTCACTCACTACTGTCAAGCTTATTCTCCATAGGATTTCTGAGACTGTAAATCTTGACTGGAGGAGACTGTCTAATCTTTCCTCAGAGCAGCTACTGGGATTCAAATGCTCATCTTTCATTTAGCAGCCCAACACTTAACCTGCTTTGCCACCAGAGCTTCTGTGATCACAAAGAGGTCAGGATTTACAACATGGATTTCTGAGTGAATAAGCAAGAGAGAACTCTGGTGGCCTAGTGCATAAGTGATTATGCTGCTAATCCAAAGACAGTTGGTTCAAATCCACCAGCTGCTCCTCCTGAGAAACACGGGCAATCCCCTTCCATGTGATTTTTCAACCTCAGAAAACTCACAGGAGGGTCAGCTGTGAGTCATTTCCAATTTGATTACACATAACAATACTACCAGCCTGGAGAGCACATTCAGGGCTGTATCTATTTGTTGAAACATTTCAATTGGTATTCCATCAATTTCTGGAGCCTTTTGGACTGCCTCCTTCATTACCACTGATCTTGATAATATATGGTTCTGTGATGGCCAATTATTTTTGGTACGGTGACTCTGTGCATCCTTTTCATCTTATTTTGATATTTTCTGCATCATTCAAGATTTTGTCCACAGAATAATTCAGTATTGAATTTGTTCTTAGTTTCTATCAGCTCTAGCTTCTAGTACAGTTGGTTATAATTGTTTTGTCTTCTTGAACTGCCCTTTGAAATCTTTTGTTCAGTTAGTTCCCTTTTTCAGAATATCCACCACCACTGCCCTTTGGGTTTACCTCTCTATGTTCTAGGGTGACTTCCAGAGTATCTTGTGACATTCATTTTGTATTTTTCTTTTTTAATTTTCACTGTCTTGTAATGAAGTTTTTCTTCCTTCATGGATGTTTTGGATGGCATCCCACAATTCATCTGGTGTTCAGTCATTAGTGTTCAATGTATGAAATTTATCCTTGAGATAGTTATAAAATTTAATTGGAATAGACTCAAAGTCATATTTTTGTGCTTGTGGACTTGCTTTCATTTTCTTCAGTTTCAATTTGAACTTGCACATCTGCAGTTGATTGTTTCAGAGTGAGCCTCTGATCTTATTTTGACATTGATATTGAGCTTCTCCATCAACTCTTCCCTCAAATGCAGTCGATTGTATTCCTGTGGGATCCATCAGTGAGGTCTGTGCATCTAGATATCATTCATATTTTTTATTAAAGGTATATGCAATGAATAAATCATTGATTGTACAAAATTTTATTATTCAATCTCTAACTAGCCTCACTTCTGTCACCACATTTTCAACTATAAGGTCTTTTTTGTTCCCAATTTCAGCATTTCAGCCACCAATTATTATTAATGCATCCTCAATCAATTTCATGAGGCACACACTGATAGAAAATACCCCGCACCCTTGCCGGTTATTTTCTATCCCATTGAACTTTGCTGTTATTGCTGAGGTGAGATGACGGCTCGTTGTAGGTTTTTTTTTGTGTTGTTTTTTTTTGAAGGTTTACAATATAATTTTATTATTAAAGTAAGATAATTACGGATATTTTTTAATTGAAAATTACCTCTGTTAAATTCTAATCCTGGTCCCTTCTTTGATAGGTAAGTTGTAGTTTGTGTATTGTGCTTGGGTATGATTAGGGGAAAATAGGTGGCAGACATATCAACCATCAGGTGTGCTGGGATTCACAAATTGCTTTGATGTTAACTGGTTTGAAAAAAGATTCTCATTGGCGGATAACTCTGGATTTTGTTTTGGGAAAACAGAAGGGTTCATGGGTTCCAAATAATGTTTCTCTAAAGAGGAAATTACTTTGTACTGAAAAGAATTTGTAATTGTAACAGAATTTATAACTGCATCCTTAGCATACTTGTACTTGTTTTGGGAGTACATTTGAAATTTGACAAGGTGATCTAAAGTAACATGTTGATCTGTTACCACTCTCTCTGTTAGTCTAGTTGAAGTAAATGTTGAAGGAGAAAGTAAATTTCTTACTGGGGCACTTGTATTATCAAGTATCTGGCTAGCAGAATGCTTCCCTGTCAAAGTTGTGTTTAATTCTGTTGGAGGGGAAAAGAAACAAACTCCTCTACTTTTAGGAACTAAACCAGTACTCTGATTGTCTGCATAACTCCTTGCTTGAAAACGATTCTTGTGGAAATCTGGAACTAATGACGGATGTACAAGGGAAAGACTTTTAATCCCAACTCTTCGCTTCATTTTTAGTAAAAGGTGAGGACAGCCACATTTAAAATTTGGGTTATGGTAGAAGAGTAACTTGCTTAAAGTTACTCTTTAGTAAAGTTTTGAGTTTCATCTTTCTAATTTCTGGTGATCATCACTGGTCTTCTCTGGTGAGGCAAGGCACAAGGTAAGGCCTACAAAGGACCAAAGGTTCAAGAGTTTAGAAAAAGTTGTGACACCAGAGATATAATTTTTTATGTCAGATGAGGCTAGGTTGAAAGCAAAGAATACCAGAAAGATATCTATTTGTGTTTTATTGGCTATGGATATTGATTGTGTGGATTATAAAAAAACTATTGCTAATATTGAGAAGAATGGGAATTCAAGAAAACTTAATTAGGCTCATACAAAATTTGTATCTAAATCAAGAAGCTGTTGTTTAAATAGAACAAGGGGACACTACATGGTTTAAAATCAAGAAAAGTGTGTCAGGGCTGTATCCTTTCTCCAAACTTATTCAATCTGTATGTTGAGCAAATCATTTGAGAAGTTTGACTTGATGAAGAAGAATATGGCATCAGGATCGGTAGGAGACTCAACAACTTGCATTATGCAGATCAGATCACACAATGCTGCTGGTTGAAAGAGGAGGATTTGAAAAGCTTGCTGCAGAAGATCAAAGACTACAACCTTCAATATGGATTACACCTCAACATCATGAAAAATCTTCAGCACTGGACCAATAGTAACATCATGATAGGTTAAGAAAAGATTGTACTTGCCAACAATTTAATCTCAATTGGCTCAACAATGAACATCCTTGGTACCAGCAATCAGAAGATCAGGAGATATAGTGCATTGGGAAAATTTGGTAGCAGGGACTTCTCCAAAGTACTAAGGAACAATAATGTCCATTTAAAGGCTAAGGTGTGCCTCCTTTAGGCCATGACCTTTTTAAGTCACTTGCCATGCATCTGAGAGTTGAACCATGAGTAAGGATGAAGGATGATAGAAGAAGAATTGATGCCGTGCGGGTTGTAGAATAGTACTGATTAGGACTACTAAAGTTTTTCCAAGCTTTTCTTGAATGAAGTTTACAGTCCTTGGTTTTAGTCCTAGGTCCATGATCCACCTTGAGTTGGTTTTTGTATATGGAGTGAGGTGGGGATCTT